ACAATAATGCTCACTAATTCTTTTATGTAACCAATATTGTTATCAATATCCTAAACAGACAACAACAATGTAACAATAATGCTCACTAATTCTTTTATGTAACCAATATTGTTATCAATATCCTAAACAGACAACAACAATGTAATAATGATACTCACTAATTCTTTTATGTAACCAATATTGTTATCAATGTCCTAAACAGACAACAATAATACTCACTAATTCTTTTATGTAACTAATATTGTTATCAATATCCTAAACAGACAACAACAATGTAATAATAATACTCACTAATTCTTTTATGTAACCAATATTGTTATCAATATCCTAAACAGACAACAACAATGTAACAATAATGCTCACTAATTCTTTTATGTAACCAATATTGTTATCAATGTCCTAAACAGACAACAATAATTTAACAATAATACTCACTAATTCTTTTATGTAACCAATATTGTTATCAATGTCCTAAACAGACAACAATAATTTAACAATAATACTCACTAATTCTTTTATGTAACCAATATTGTTATCAATGTCCTAGACAGACAACAATAATTTAACAATAATACTCTTTGTTGAAACTGAAAGCATTTATTTAATGTCGATTTCTAACCAATTACAAAGCAGCTACAAATCAATAACAAGAAATGATTTTATTAACTCATATGTCAGTATTAGTAAACCTAACGGGTCTTATCTTTCTTCTTGGTTTTGGTGTTTCTGAAGACTAGATTCTGATAATGTGGACAAAGGTTTCATATCTCTAATAACTTAACACTTTTCCCACAAACATTTAATTAACGTGATGCCACAACCTGATGGACATCCTAGTGTCATTCAGAGATGGCGAACACTTAGTCCGAGCAAGTTTTACGTCATTATTTTCAGTCTTCTCTCTCGCGTGTCACGATCTTGTTGGAGATAAGTTCTTATTTTCCTTTACGTGGTGCGTCTACAGGTTGTGACCCATAAACTCACCTTGGGCAAAACTAAAATACGCTGATTAAGCTTCGGAGTGGTCAGCTGGATTACCATCCAGATCCGCTTGGATTTCTTCTGCACTTCGTAGGTCGATAGCGAACTTTCTTGGTTTCTTGTCACAACCTTGTTCTTTGACTGCCTTACTGAACTCCTGAAAGGCTGATGCCAGTGCTAGGGTGAGAGCACGCGCGTTTTGCCGGCTATCACAAACGAAGGCATGACATTCAAAAGGGTGATTTTCAAACACATTGGTGCTGTCTCGCACGTATATCATAGCGAATACACGGGTATACACGAGATCCTGAACGCCGTACGAAATGGAGTCGATCGGAAACAGTCCTGCCTCAAAGTTAGGGTTTGTGTTCTGAGGCATTTCGCTTACCGTCACGCCCTCTGGAGATACTTGTAATTTCAGAAAGGGTAAAGTAGCCCCCGGTTTTAGGGCTCGTGCTTCTGCCACCATGTCATCGACGGGTTGCCGAGTATGTTTGATTCCCCATAGCCCGCGGGCATCTCGTCTCCCAAGGTATTTGGCCACAAAAGTACGAGGAAACGGGTCGTGCGAGGCCATACCGTTACTCTGAACAAACAACACTCAACTGTGAGGGATCTCTCTCTATATGTTCGTTTTGTCTAAGTTACAGTGCACAGAATCCAGCTGCTCCAACACCTGTGTACCGTTCAGTCGTGACGAGGTTCCGAAACCCCGCAGGCAACCAACCAACACGTACTTTTCAAACAGAGGATATAAAACAATGAAGTCTAGTGGAAACATAACCACGTAGTTTATATAAAACAATGAAATGTAGTATAAACATGACCACGTAGTTTATATAAAACAATGAAGGGAAGTGGAAACATGACCACGTAGTTTATATAAAACAATGAGGGGAAGTGTAAACATGACCACGTAGTTCATATAAAACAGTGAAGGGAAGTGGAAACATGACCACGTAGTTTATATAAAACAATGAAGGGAAGTGCAAACATGACCACGTAGTTTATATAAAACAGTGAAGGGAAGTGGAAACATGACCACGTAGTTTATATAAAACAGTGAAGGAAAGTGGAAACATGACCACGTAGTTTATATAAAACAGTGAAGGGAAGTGGAAACATGACCACGTAGTTCATATAAAACAGTGAAGGGTAGTGGAAACATGACTACGTAGTTTATATAAAACAATGAGGTCTAGTGGAAACATGACCACGTAGTTTATATAAAACAGTGAAGGAAAGTGGAAACATGACCACGTAGTTTATATAAAACAATGAGGTCTGGTGGAAACATGACCACGTAGTTTATATAAAACAGTGAAGGGAAGTGTAAACATGACCACGTAGTTTATATAAAACATGACCACGTAGTTTATATAAAACAATGAGGGGAACTGTAAACATGACCACGTAGTTTATATAAAACATGACCACGTAGTTTATATAAAACAATGAGAGGAAGTAGAAACATGACCACGTAGTTTATACGAAAGGAAGGGTTCTAATGGAAACACGATCATAATATGTATCTAAAGTAAAATAAAAGTTTGTGTTTTATTACGGGAACAAATAAAATCGTTCTCTGGAAGTAAAACAGTTTCGTTACCTTTCACAAACAATATTGAAGTGAATGCAAATCTGTAACGTCGAATTAGAGACTCTTATATAAATATCTTTTCTTTGAAATTCGTTAAGTCTGTCAGTCATCAATTAGTCGAAACTATATCATTCGGTATATTGTCCACTGTACAGTAATCAAATTTGGCACGTGCAAACACCAAAACAGGACACACAAAACCAGTTAATCCAAAGATTTCACTCTTAAACCTAAAACTGGTTTGATCATAACCGAGCTCTTGTTATATTTAAATGTATGAACTAGTAGACGTACGTAAAGTTATTGTAAATGACAGGTAAAAATTTCACTGCGTCAAGATTTTTAATCTGTTTCTGCAATTCGAGGAAGTCTCTCGCTGAGAGTACAAACTTCCCAGCACGTTTCTCGTGTCGAAAAAAAATGTTTTGAAATATAGTTAGATGTTTCGTTTTTTCGACGAGATATGTGTCTCACTGTTTTATTTTCAAGCCTAAAACGGCGATAGTCAATACAGATGTGGAACAAAAGTCAAATGACCACCGGAGGCTCTCGTTTGCTACACAGATCACGTGGTAAACTTTTTCTACTTTTGTGACGTGAAGACCTAAAGTTGAACATTTCTGGTAAGCCTAGAAACTACAGGAAATTTTGTTTTTTTAAGATACATATTTCAGGTTGGGATAATTTAATGTTCTCAATTTGTTTTATTTCAGTTTGATAAATCTGATTACATTAGCAATACCTGTAATGTTAGTTACATATTTATAGCCCTAAATTATTTTTTGTTTGTTAAATTTCACGCAAGGCTACCCGATATCTATCTGTAATACTCATGCCCGAAATTAGAAGTTACAGACTAAAAGGAAACCAGTTAATCAATATCTCTTACTGGTTGGGTAAATCTTCACCTTATAACACCCCCCATGGATTGGAGGGCAAGCATTGTCAGTGATGGAATTCGAGCTCACGACTTGCAGATTGCCAGTGCTGTGGGTACGTTAAAAGAGTGACAGTCTGTTGGATAGCGTGAGTGGTAGGACTGGTTTCCTTTCTCATTTGTCAGTAGTTTAGAATTAGAGACAACGGTGGATGGCCTTCGTAGCTTTGCCATAACAACAATATACTATACAATACAAAACAATTATTTTCGGTACAACGAAATGTATGACAAGCCGTTAGTTATCTTGGTATATTCACGTGTTGAACATATTTTTTAAGAAACCAGAATGAATGAACAATGAAACACATGAGTTTTTATTTACCATACGTAAACGTTAAACTCTGTGAGCAAGCTCACGATTTTCAAGATATTTCGTACATGGGAAGCGAGATTCCCAGATTTCAGAGTTTTTACACATGCGCACTAGTAAGGAGATAATTTTGCTCACAGGTTTTCAAGGATTTCAAGCTATAACATATCTTTTTCACCATCAACAACAACAACAAAAATACGTTACAATATCTTGGCAAGTTAACAAATATTAAAAAAAATGTTAACTAGAGAAATCCAGGTTTATTACTTAAAGTTTTCTTTACGTAAATTCTACGTTATGAATTATATACGTTACAATCGGAATGTTCTAATGGGAAAGTAATACTAAACTATTTCAAGTACAAGTGACAAGAATGGTACAATAAACCTGACTGTAGAAGTGACAAGTGTAGTACAATAAACCTGACTGTATAAGTGACAAGAGTAGTACAATAAACCTGACTGTAGAAGTGACAAGAATAGTACAATAAACCTGACTGTAGAAGTGACAAGAGTAGTACAATAAACCTGACTGTAGAAGTGACAAGAATAGTACAATAAACCTGACTGTAGAAGTGACAAGAGTAGTACAATAAACTTAATTGTAGTT